AGCTGCTGATCAGTTTCAGCAGCAGCTGACTTGGGGACACCTGGGGTTCTTAAGTTGAATCTGTCGTCCAGATTCAGCCACTGTTGAAACTGATCAGTTTCAGCAGCGGCTGAATCTGGACGCCAGTTCCGACTTACATACAGATTCAACTTAAGAACAAACCTACAGTCCCTATCTTGTACGTAACCCGGGGACTGCCTGTATATGGTAGTCAGTGAAGAACTTTTGGGACAAAAAATGTCTCACACTGGCTGCTATATTTCCTATAGGATTCACTAATAATTCTAAACTGATCAGTTTCAGCAGCGGCTGAATCTGGACGCCAGTTCCGACTTACATACAGATTCAACTTAAGAACAAACCTACAGTCCCTATCTTGTACGTAACCCGGGGACTGCCTGTATATGGTAGTCAGTGAAGAACTTTTGGGACAAAAAATGTCTCACACTGGCTGCTATATTTCCTATAGGATTCACTAATAATTCTGAAGCGTGAGAAAAGAGAGATTTTTTTTTTTTTAATCCGCAATGCTGTGATTTTTGCAGGGGGTATGTTGTTTTTTTGTATTGACAAAGGTTAGTCCCTTCCTGATGTGCAAAATAGAACTTCATTGTAACTAGAGAGCCACAACTGATGCCTTCGTAATGTGGTATTGCTGGGAAGACTGTCTAATTCACTTCTGAATAAAATAATCTTGAAAACAGTTACTTTGCAGCAAACAGATACAAAACTGTTATTCTGGCAATATTTTTCTTTGAAGTATCTCAGAGTGGGAATCCCTGGGCTAAAGCTAAATAATTATTCCATAGAAAAGGAAGCTTTGCTTTACTTAATTATGTGAAGCCTGAATTAATGCTTATAGTTGAGACTGCTGGTTTTTGCAGTTTCCCCAGTAGAACAGTTGTGCCATGACACAACATATTGTACAAAAATCATTATGTGGCAATGTAATGACTTTATTGGCTCAAAATAAAATTTTAGGGAAGTCAAATGGTACTGAAATAGAAAATTCTGTTTTAATTTTAAGTGAAAGCTGTGTCGGGGTGCGGTCACAGAAGACCCATTGGAAGTGCTTCCCGGAGTGCTGACGCAGCCACTGACGCTCACCTCTTTTCTCTCTGGGGCTTTTTACTACCCTGTGTAGTAAGTTGAGGGTCAGTAACATAGAGCCAGCAGGCCTGAATACAGGCCTGTAACATGAAAACAGCAACAGGCCTGCAATCTAGTGAGCAAGACTTTGGTTCAGTAACACAGGAGCCAAGAATGAGGCCCTATTGATAACTGTGTAATTGTGTAAGTTAGGTGGAGCATGGAAGGACACATGGAGGCACTGGGTACAGACTATAAGCCAAAGTCTGGTACAAAGACTCCCCAAAAACTAATGCACATACCGACCTAGGTTCAGGACCTGGTCAAGATTGACAGCATGAAGGATAGTAAGTCCCCCTTCCCTAAGGTGAGGGGTGGTAACTAGGCAACAGAGGGTGGCAACCTGGTACATAAAGAAATGATGTAACTTGTTTGTACATGTCTATAAAAGGACACCGCAAATGATGCACATCGGCCGACCTTGGGGGGTGTGGGGAGGGGTGCACTAGGCACCTGAGCGGCAGGTGTCATTGTCTAGACTTACAGAATGCACAGTGGCTTAACTCTGACTAACCGCTGTTAATATCTGTTATATGGCAGTAGGCCTGCTATGTGTTGGTACCTTGTCAACGTGGGCCAAGTGCGCAGTGGTGTAGGTGTAGGATTGTAGAATCTCTGCTACCAACTGTCAGAGCTTCGCATTTGACAATAAACCTACTCAACTGATTTCAAACCTTGCATGAATCTGTCAGTTCCGAGGGCTCTCAGATCTCCTGTGTTGACCCAAGTGCACGGGGTCTAATACTCTAGATAAAGGGAGCACTGATAGTTACACACGCAGCCAAAAGTTTATCATCACCGACGGAGTGCAGGTTCTGTCAGGAGTGCACTGGGACAACCCTGAGAATCCTGACCAGCCGACACTGAACACTGCCAGCACGAAACTGCCAGCTACGACACCGCCATGGTCATCTCAATCAGAGTTGGAATTGGATGCGGCATCGGTCCGTTCTTGATACAGCCACTCCGGTCATGCCAGAAGGGACCTGACGGCGCAGTGACAGCAACAGTGGCCACTATCTACACAGTGGCCTTTCTGGACACCCTTGGCATATCATCAGTCTTGGGGTGCACCAAGGTCGATGGTGTTGGCAAGCCATAGGGCCTGCTCCCCTTGGGATAGATGCCATTCGAGGGCACCGTC